AAAAAAATCTGGAACAAGACAATTTGTAAAATGTTTTAAAATAACAAATAAAACGTGTTTTCAAGAGATCTTCTGGTATTGGTACTTGTCTTTATGGTGCTAATTTTCTCATTCTGAAAACTATGCTGGAGGAAAATATGTAAAGTTATCTGTTTCAATCAGAGGAACTTTCTCTGTTTCTGCATATTTCCTAGAAATTCCTTATCCATTGTCTCAGATAAAACTAACAGCCTTTGAGAATCTAAGTGTATTTAGGCTTTCTCATTTCTTTTTTCCTTTTCTTTTTTCCCTATCAGTGTCAAGTGACTTGAAATGCAATATGCATGTCCTGTCTCCACTGTTTTCACAGCCCATATCCTTCTCAACCTATAGAATGTCTTTAAAAGCCAGGTATAAAGGCTCATGCAATTTCAGCACTTTGGGAGGCCAAGAGCCCAGGAGTTCGAGACCAGCCTGGTCAACACAGGGAGACTCCCCTGTTTTTCACAGATAAAATGCCCTGTGATCATTTAAACCAACTGGTTTATCATTTAGCGTAAATCACTTTAACTGAAACTAAAGGAGTGTTGTTGCTAAACTTCCTTTGTTGCCAATATATTTGTAGTTTATGTTCTCATTTGATAATTATTTCTGTTCTAAACTGCTCACTCTCATTCCTCTGGGAAACTCAACTGAAAATGTTAAGGACTCTGTTCTCTTATGAAAGCCCTTCTGCTCATATGGTGACTTCTGTTCCTGGTTGTCTATATAGAAAGGTCCTTTTTATTCCAAACAAAGACATTCCACTGTCCCAGGTAAGCTACTGACCAAAATGAGGCTACCTATCTCCTGTCTCTCTGGACACCTTCACCTGTGAGGACTATTAGCATTCTCATTTGCCATTTAATTTTTTTCCCCATTTTTTTTTTTTTTTGAAACAAGTCTCACTAAGTGGAAAAACAATCTGTGGAAGCCTTGACAAGTTTAATAAAATCGAGACCTTGAGGGAATCCACTGGGCAAAATCTCCAATATCTATATATGGAGAAGGGGCTGTATGAGAAAGCACAAAAACTGATGATGGAGAGAACTGTGTCATCTAATCCCTGCATGAGCTCCTCTGACCGTGAACCACAAAGCAGGCCGAGTAAAGCCTAACTTAGACGAACTGTAGTCAGAGGTGCTCCAGGTATGTAGATGACCCGAAGGTGGTCCTCCTCGTTGACCCACACTAGGAAGGTCTTACTGTCATTGTGCCAGATGCCGCAGGCTCAGGCGTCGGGCCAGTGGAGGGCCATGCCGGAGGCCAGCAGCAGGCGTGACACGGGCTTGTCAAAGAGGAAGTGGGCGGCGATGAGCTGCTGCAGCTCCGCCTCGGTCATGCTCTTGGGCGCACAGTACCCGCCCGCCAGCTTGCAGTCCAGGCTGGACAGGGCTTCCACCGCGAGCTTCTCCATGGTGCCGCGCTTCCCCATGCGCACCCAAGAGCTCAGGGCGTAGGTGGGGTCCAGGTCGTCGCCGTCCTGCAGGTTGCCGGGGTTGAGGTCGGTCTTGTGCTCATCTTGTGCTCAATGTGAGACTTGGAGGAGACAACTATCCAAACTGTATCATTTCTCTTCTTGCCTTGTCCTAATAAAGGAAGGAAGTTACTTGTAGTGATAAAGGCCTTGGTTTTCACTTCGTTGTCTGCTGCCTATTGAAATGGGTCAGAACATAAAAGGGTTTTTCTGAGGAAAGGTAAATGCTTGGAAAAGTTCCTGTTTCTGACCCTTTGAGATGAGCTCACAATGAGAATTTGAGCTACACTGTGCTAATAGAGTCCATGAGCTTCCTGGTGTCCAGTAAGGCGTAAGTCACCTTCCTGGTGACAGGGCAGCATATTCCACTCGAGTGAGTCATTGTGTAAAACACATTTGAGGCACAACTCTCATTACAGTTGTAGCCGCCAGGCCGGTCCTCCATGATGGGGTCGAAGAGATCCTCGAACGCTTCCTAGGACTCCTCGTCGCTTGCCACGCAGCCCACGGTCAGGACCTATGGGTGGCCCGGGTTGTCCACGCCTGTCTGGATGATGCCGTCCAGCGTGAAGCCGCTCGCAGTGCTCTTGGCGCGCAGCTCCGCGCACAGCTCGGGGTCGGTACGTGGTTGTGGCTGCTCAGGTCGGGGAAGCGGTCCTCAGCCCGGAGGCGCAGCTTCAGCGTGTTGTGGCTGTTGGAGAACAGCATGGCGGCGGCGGGGGCGGGGCTGGGGGTGTTGCATCCATCCGCAGCTCCGGGTGCTGCACAGGCGTCACTAGAACCGCTGTTCCGCTTGCCACTTCAGTGGTTTTGATTATTCCAACATATATATGGTTTCTGTCCAGTGAGCTCTCTCCACTGAGTTCTCCTTCAGTCAATGTTCTGCCCTCGGTCTTGAGAAAAGTAACAATGGAGAGAAACTTTAAGCATGTTGTGTATGGGTTACATCCTTGAGTCAGTGTTCTTTCCTTATACTAGGGAGTGTCCCACTTCCCCCAAAATTGTATATGACATAAGCTGTAGTCCTGAGTCACAATAAGATGTACTATTTATGTGGTAAAATTGTATGGGATTTGACTAATGCATACCGACAGGTTCTTTTATTCAAGAATGTTTCTTTTATTCAAGCTCCTCTTCCCTCCACACACAGGGAATCAATCGCCGTTTGTATATTGTCGTTGGTGTTGCTTCTTTGTTTCACTTCTCTTTCATCAAAGCAAATCATACCGTGCTCTATTTTCATTTGATCTTCCAAAAGAAAACTACTGAATATATAAACGAGAATTTCAGCTATTCAGACTCAGATCCGCCGCTAAGCAGTCAAGGCCAAGGCTCCTGCGCTGCAACACTACGGCCGGGAGAGGGCGCTGGAATCCGCCTTCCGGCCCTGCGGGGCACATGCGCATTCTGGCTGCGGAGGCGGGGCTGGGTCTCCAGGGAGCATGGGAGCCAAGGCTTTGGGGCAACTCAGGCAGTGTCCGTCATGAGGAAAGCTTCCGGTTGGCAGCCCTAACTGCTGAGAAGGGAGATTCACTGCAATCTCCCGGATATTTCTCTGAAACAGCAATAAAGACTTAATTTTCTGGGCTGTTCCCACGTGTTTTGTTCTGTACTTCCTGTTGGCATATTTTAGCATTATTTAACAAATGTATAAATTTGGGGTGGGGGAGGGCTTTTTGATGGATAATTGAAGCAGGCTGTAATATGTCCTCCCTGTGACCTCTTTCAGGATTGACTGTGAGGAGAAACACAAGAATTGTGAGGAAAGTCTGCGGAATACAGGGACCCTGCAGATGGAGAAGTGTGGGACCAGGGCAGGGCCGGCAGTCTCAGTGCAGCCCGAAGGATAGGGGCTCCTGCGGAGAAACCCCGAGCTTAGCATCCGTGCATTTCCACATTGTGAGGGGCTCCTCTTTCTTACAGTGCTAAAGTCACTGGAAAATAGACAATGAAAGAGAGGAACGTTAATTCAACATTCAGTTGTTGACACTAAAGCATTAAGAACTACATCTTTCTTTTCATCGTAGCACTGCAGATTTTAAAAATGATTTCCATTACAAAGGCAAGGGGAAGAGGTACACTTGTGAACAACAGTTTGGACCCCAAATGAAACTATATTGTTAAATATTTCTTCAAAAATAAGTCATTATTCTGTTTCAGTATATATCCTGAGATTTTAACCTATAAATAGGTTAAAAACATTTTGTTTACAGTCAAAACGAGTATAATGGTAAAATATTTATTTGGCAAGCCCCTCATATTTTTATTCTTCTACCAGTTTGCCACCCTTAGGTTTTCAGCTAGACTTGACACAAGAAACACAATGAGAGGTCTTTCTCTTCCTTGACTGTAAAATATGCATACTCCAGAACACTCAACATAGGCTGTTTCTTAACTATTTCAACCTGAACCCTACAACCAGAGAGAATGTAGTCAAGTAATCCAATTTTTTTTTTTTTTTTTTTTTTTTTTTTTTTTTTTTTTTTTTTTTTTTTTTTTTTTTTTTTTTTTTTGAGACGGAGTCTTTAACTGTTGCCTGGGGTGGAGTGCAATGGCAAGATCTCGGCTCACTGCTACCTCCGCCTCCCAGGTTCAAGCAATTCTCCTACCTTAGCCTCCCAAGTAACTGGGATTACAGATGCCAGCCACCACTCCTGGTTAATTTTTTGTATTCGTAGTAGAGACATGGTTTCACTCTGTTGGTCAGGCTGGTCTCAAACTCCTGACCTGTGTTCCATCCACTTCTGCCTTTCCAAATTC